CTGGCGCTCCGCGCGCATTTCTTGGATCCGCGCTGGCCTCCCCCCCCCGCGCCAAGGAGGGGGGTCCAGCGCAGACCCAAGAAATCCGCGCGGAGCGTCGAACGTTATGTGTTTATGGCGCGTCTTCCTCCCCGAAGCAGGCCCTCGCAGGCCCCCCCGAGAGCCTCCGCGAGCGCCTCCGCTGCGCTGCCCCGCCTTGCCAGCTCTGTAACTGCGCGCCTCGGGCCCGCTCTCCGCCTCGGGCTGGCCCCGGCCTCCGCCGCTCGGGCGCGGCTGCAAGTGCTTCTGCGGCGTCCCCGCGCCGGCTTTCATGGTCTGAGCGGGCGCCTTCGGCAGCAGGATCATGGGGGCCTCGTGTGCCCTCGCAACTTTCCGTGTTCAGCGCCGACGGGCGTCGATTAGCGTTTGGGAGTCGATGAGGCAGCGCCGATCTAGCGTCGGCTAGCGTGGTCTAGCGTCGATTTAACGTCGATAAGCGACGGCTAGCGTCGAGGCGCCAAGCCGACGAGATGGTCTGGGAGGCTCCCATGAGTTGCCACCGAAGGCTCCGACCTCTTCCCCCCTCGCGCTCTGTTCCTTGTCGCCTTCGTACCTCTGGTGTATCCCACCGCTTGCTGACCGGCGTCTGATTGTCTTTGACCACTTGGCGCCCGCGGGCTTCAGAAATACCGGTTCCGCGTACTGCCCAGCCACGAAGTTGTGTATTTCTCCCTGGACGCCCTGCAACGCTTGGTGGAAATCAGGACAGCTCGTGGCCCATGCTATTGTTCGCTACGTTGCCATCATCTGCCCCGCGGAAGGAAAAAGGGTGTGGGTGCCGCAGGGCGACGCGCGCATCTTTACACATCTTACACCGTCGGCCGCGCGGCGGGCGTTGTCCCCGTGCCGGCTGGCCAATGCCGCCTGGGCACCAGTGTGCTGCCAGTTGCTCTTGTGCGCCACGCTTTCCAGTCGGACGTGTGCTTCCAAGGGAATCGCATCGTGCAGTGGGGGCCCATGCCAAGAAACACCCTGCTCGCCTCCAAGGCGCCCAGGGCTTCTTGGGTTTCGATGGTTTTGCTCTGGAAAGGGTGACGTTCCAACACCAGAAATGAATGGACGTCCTGGGGTCTCAGGGTTGGGTTTCTCGTGGAAGGTTTCTTGTGGTCGGGCCCCTGCAGCATCAGCCCGAGCACCCGGCGCTTCGTGGCCTGGGGCCGCCTTCGGGCGGGGCCGCGGCGGACGGAGATGGGCTCGGAGGCTCGCGCCGCGTCGCCGGTGCTCAAGAAAACAGGAACTTCAAAGAGGCTTTGCGGAGGCCTCGGACTTCGAGGTTCGATGCTTTTGTGTTTTGTTTGTTTGTTTGTTTGTTTGTTTGTTTGTTTGTTTGTTTGTTTGTTTGTTTGTGTGTGTGTGTGTGTGTGTGTGTGTGTGTGTGTGTGTGCGCTTCTTTCCGCCAGCGCAGTCGCTCTGCCTAGCCGCCGACGCAAAATGTGTGTGTGTGTGTGTGTGTGTGTCGTTCGTGCGTTTTTGTTCACCCGTGGGGGGCGCCTCGAGAGAACCGAGGTGGCCGGCCTGCCGCCGCTGTTTGGCCTCGGAATCTTGGCGATGCCGATCTTGGTCACGGTCCATGTCGGCCGTTGCCGATTCGCGAGGATGGTCCACGAGCTGACGCTGACCCACCTCGGCGCCCACCGAGATCGACACGACGCTCCCGCGCAGTCTGGGTCGTGGTCCCTTCTTCTTTCCCCTCCAGAGAAGACGGCCCTGGGGAAGGGGGGGTCGCGCACTTGGGGGGCCCACGCGGCGTGCCACGGGAGGTGCCAGGTGGCTGGGCCCGCAGGTCTCAGGAGGCAACAAAAACACACACAGACACAAGTAATCGTCGACTCCCAGGAAAATATGGGAAACTATAGGAAGCGGGGGGGAAGACACAAACCCAGAAAATATAGGAAAATAGGGGGAATCATTTTATTTGTGTATATCTATTTGTGTGTCCTTGGGCCCCTCGATTCTTTCCCCTCCAGAGAGGACGGCCCCGGGGAAGGGGGGGTCGCGCACTCGGGGGGCCCACGCGTCGTGCCAAGGGAGGTGCCAGGTAGTTGGGCCCGCAGGTCCTCCTCCTCCTCCTCCTCCTCCTCCTCCTCCTCCTCCTCCTCCTCCTCCTCCTCCCCGTCCCTCTCCTTGCTTCCCCCCTCTCAGGACGTCTCCCAGGCCTCCTCCTCCTCGTCCTCCTCCTCCTCCTCCTGCTCCTCCTCCTCCTCCTCCTCCTCCTCCTCCTCCCAGGTGGCGGGGCCCGGGGCAGGGCTCCGAAAGTCCTGGGCGTGGGTGTGTTTCCTGCCGGCCCTCTGCAGCCTGTCTGTCGGGCTGTCTGGCTCGAGCTCCCCCTACCCCCCCCCCACCCCCCCCCGCCGCCTCCTCTCCTCCCTCCCTCTCCTCCTCCTCTCCTCCCTCCTCTCCTCCCTCCTCCTCTTCTGCCGCCTCCCTCCTCCGCCTTCTCCCTCCTCTCTGCTCCGCCTCCTTCCTCCGACTTCCCTTGTCCAATCCCCCCTCCTCCCTCCCTTGTCGCACCACGAGCCAGGAGTTGCCTCCTCCCTCCCTCCCTTCCTCCCCCCCATCCCTCCTCCCTCTCTGCCTCCTCCATCCTCGCCCCCCTTCACTCCCTCCCCTCCCCCCTCCTCCCCCTCCCTCCTCCCTCCTCCCTCTTCCCTCCTCGCCCCCCCCCTCCCTCCCAGATCTCCCCTCCCTTGAGATCCGACGTTGCGAACAAAAAATGCAGCCTCGCGACCAATCACGACCAGGACCCTGGAGACCCCACCTTCCTGCGCCAGTGCTCGAGGCGGACCGATCTGTGAGGGTCCCCGGGGCCCGAGACCCGGCGGAAACGCCCGGCTCGAAGAGGCTGAGACGCCAGGAGCTTGGGGATGGCCGGGGCCCTCCCTCTCTCCCCCACCCTCCCCGTCGCCTCCTCATCTCCCTCCCCTCCTCTCCCCTCCTTTCCCCGCATCTCCCCTCCCTCCCCTCCACAATTACACATATCATAACTATACTACTCTCGCCACTTCCCTGAATTGGCGTCTCGGAAGATGTTTCGCCCCCCCCGCGTACGGTGTTTTTTAACAAAGGAATCCCCGGAGTTGGTTTTTTTTTTTTTTTTTTTTTTTTTTTTTTTTTTTTTCTTTCTAAAATGCTGCTCTCGCTGAGGCGCTGGCCTAATTTTCGGGCTCCCGCTCCTTCCGAATCGTGTTCCCGCTGCAGCGCTGGCCTCATTTCCGCGCTCCCGCTCGTTCCGAATCGTGCTCCCGCTGCAGCGCTGGCCCAATTTCTGCGCCTCTCGTTGTTCCAAAACGTGCTCCCGCTGCTGCGCCGACGTTTTCGATCCTTTTTAAGAAGCCCCAAATCTAGAAAATGATCCCCGGCAAAAACATTGGAGGTGATTACACATCCGGTGTCGATTCGTTGATTTTTGGGGCCGCAGAAAGCCCCCCCCCCCCCCTTTTGGGCGGCGTCCTTTTCCGCACAGGATTCCCGGGAGTTTGGTTTTCATCTATGTTTTTGAAAATCCGAGTCTTTCCGGTCCTTCTCTGACATCTGTCCTCGCCCGCTGCCGCTTCCCTCGCCGCCGCCGCCGTCGTCGTCTGCGTCTTTGTCGCGATTGGCAATTTCTATTTCTACCATTACTCAATATGAATGCACCTGCATCGTCGTCTGCGTCTTTGTCGCGATTGGCAATTTCTACCTCTACCATTACTCAGTATGAATGCACTTGCACAACTCTGACATCGGACTCACTCTACCATTACCCAATATGAATGCTACTCTCCTTTCACCCCTGCAGAAATTTGAGATCCGGGTGGGGGACGCGCGTAACGGCAGCGGGCAGCTGGCGCGGGTGCCGCTCCGGCGCGGTCGCGTCGTCGTCGTCGTCGTCTTCGTCGCCGGTCGTCCTCATCGTCGTCGTCGTCGTCGCCGCCGTCGTCGTCGTCGTCGTGGTTGTCGTCGTCGTCGTCGTCGTCTTCGTCGTCGTCTTCGTTTTCATCGCGCCGTCGTCCTCCTCCTTTCCCTCTTAGGTAACAGGGTCAGATGCGAAGCCCGATTCGGTGAGAGGACAATGAAGTAGCTCAATGGGAAGGTATGGGAGGGAGGGGTAGGATGTCAGATGTTGACGCGAGCGCACCTAGCTTGCCTCCCTCCCCTCCCTCTCCTCCCCTCCCTCCCTTCCTCTCCCCGCCCCTCCCCTCCTCCTCTCCTCCCCTCCCCTCCTCTCCCCTCCGTCTCTCCCGTCCCTCCCCTCCTCTCCCTTCGCGGCGGCTCTTCTCCCTTCCCTTCCTCTCACCTCGCCTCCCATCAGTGCCCCGCCGTCTGGAAGCCGCCATTGGCTCCGGCACCTGGAGGGGGCCGAGCCCTCCCGAACTACGTCCCTCGGCCAACGAGACGGCCGTAGGGGGGTGCCCCCTACCTCCGCAACTCTTACATACTTACCTGAAGGCGCCAATTGCCGCGCCCCCCCCCCTCCCCTCCCCTCCCCCCCTTCCTCCCCCTCCCCTCCACCCTCCCGCGCCCCCTCCCCTCCCATGGCGGCCCCAGCAAGGTTCTGCATCCCCCGCAGGGCGGTGATTTTTAGTTCCATAACCACCGCCTGGGGGTCGATCTTCGCGGACCTCCCAGGCGTGGATCTGACACATCCAGGTGCCTCGGGGCCAAAGTGTGTGCATATCCACCGCCTCGGCTGGGGCACCTGGCGTCGCCCCAGGCGGTGGGCTACGGACAAGTCCCGCCTCGCACCTCCACCGTCCGCATCTGGGCCTCAACACCCGAGGCGGCCGCGACTGCCACGTCGGCGGCCGCGCGCGGGCTCGGCCGCCCGCGCTCGGCCGCCGCGCGCTGGCCCGGGTGCCGCGCTCCCCTCCCCTGGCCTCCCCCTTCCCCTGGCCTCCCCTGGCCGCTCCCATCCCCTGGCCTCACCCTTCCCCTCCCCTCGCCCCTCCCCTCCCCTCCCCTCCTCCCCCTCCGCGGCCGCCCCCTCCCCCTCCCCTCCCCCTCCCCCCGGCGGCCGCCCGCGGGCTGCCATGCCGCGCTCGGCCGCCGGCCGCGCCGGCGCCGCGCCGCGCGGGGGCCCCTGGCCCGGGCTGGCCGGCGGATGCCCTCCCCAGGAGGATCGGGCGCTGCGATGAAGTCGGTCGGGCCGGACGAAAGTGGGGGATTGGGAAAGGGGGGGGGTACGAGATTTGCTGCATGCAGCTGGTTTCGGCCTCACCGAGGAGCCCATTCCTCGATACATAGCCGCTTCCGGCGCCGGGAGGCGCCGGGAGGCGGAGGCCCTCCCCAGGAGGATCGGGAGGCTATCGGGGGCGGAAAAGAGGGGGGTGATGACTAGGGGGGGGTGGACATCATGGCGGGGGTCATGATATTTCCCCAGATCTCAGGGCGCCTCTTCTTATTTTATTACGTCCCTGGCCCCCCCGCTGGGCCGCGCACGTGCCGCCGGTCATGATTTGCACCCCCCCCCTCTTGGACACCCCCCTCTTGGCCGCTCCCGAGGCTAGAGACGGGGGTCAGTGCAAACGGGGGTCAGCCAGAGCGCCCGATCCTGCAGGATCCTGCAGGGCCAGGGTCGCATTGACCTGGGTCTGGGTGCAGGATCCTGCAGGATCTTGCAGGATCCTTCGCGCTGACCCTGGTTTGGGTGCAGGATCTTGCAGGATCTTGCAGGATTCTGCAAGATCCTGACTGACCCGGGTCTGGATCGACCCGGGTCAGAAGGTCCCCGAGAGGATCGGGCGCTACGATGAAGTCGGGCACGTCCCTCTGCAGGAGGAATCTTCCAGAATTGTCGAGAAATAGTCTGGGGGCGATCTTTCGATCACTTGTTCGACGAGTTTGGCATATTTTTTGGGCTACTTCTCATTTTTCCCCCCAAATCCGCCTGTCGGAGGACATGCCCGACCGACCGCTAGGCCACCTAGATGGGGTCGGACTAGATGACTAGATGGGGTCGGAGGATCACTCCGCATCGCCGATGCATCGCCGATGTGGCTCGATGTGGAGCCCTACTCTCTCCACGCCGGCGTCGCCGACGCATCGCCGACGTTGCCGGTGCATTGGCGATGCGGCGCGTTCCTCCGACCCCATCTATTCGGACCCCATCAGGGAGGCCTCTAGTAATTGTCAGATGGACGATTATCCGGTTGGGAGGGCGGGGTTGGGAGAAATGATCGGAGCGTCCCTAGTATCGCGTATGTTGAAGGTGTTTCTCGCACTGTCGTGCCCTGCATCTTCCCAATCCCCTTCCTCCCATTATCGGGTTCGGAGGGCGGGGTTGGGAGAAATGATCGGATCGTCCTTGGTATCGCGTATGTTGAGGGTGCTTATGGAACAGTCGTGCCCTGCATCTTCCCAAGCGCCTTCCTCCCAGCACGATGGATTACCTTTCTCAAGCGGGGGGGGGGGGGAGCGATCGATGCGTAACCAGAGTTGTTCTCGATTTTCTGTACTAAACTCAAACTGTAGCAGAGCTGCATAGTTTGTACGCCCACGCAATCTATCGAGAATCATCATGCGCGTGCGCCTGAAGCACTCAGAAGTCTGAACTCGGTCCACCACTCGAGCTAGGCTCGCAAAACTATTCCTACCTTGGGGATGTGGGGGGGGCGATCAATGGGGGGGCGGTGAAGAGAGGTGCACCTCTTGTGTCCCAGGTCGGCCGCGCGCAGAGCGGGGGCAGTGGCACGGGGGAAGGCTCCTTCGAGGCGCCCCCGCTTCTCTCATGAGGCGCGGGCCTCGCCCGTCGACGGGCCGGCGCTTTCTTCTCGGAAGCAGCCTCCCTCTGAGCAGCCTTCCCTCTCCCTCTGGCCCCCCGCCTGCGCGCCGCCAGCCAATGGGGGGGGGGGGGGGGGGCGGGCGAAGAGAGGCGCACCTTTCGCGCCCTGGAGGTGGGGGGGCGATCACGGGGGGTGGGGGAGAGGTGCGCCAGCCTCTGTGCCCGAGAGGGGCCCTGACGGGGCCCCCCCCCTGGGGCCCGGAAGTGGCACGGGAGGCGCACGCTGCTCCTCCTCTTCCTCCTCCTCCTCCTCCCTCCTCCTCCTCCTCCTCCTCCTCCTCCTCCTCCTCCTCCTCCTCCTCCTCCTCCTCCTCCTCCTCCTCCTCCTCCTCCTCCTCCTCCTCCCTCCTCCTCCTCCTCACTCCTCCTCCTCACTCCTCTCTCCTCCTCCCTCCTTCCCCCAAAACGCCCGAGAGGACGCGGAGATGGCGGCGATCGCGGCCTCTCTCAAGAGGGTGTCGCCGGCGTGGGGTGTCGAGGACAGTCCCCGAGATCCGGGCGCTGCAGCGGGCACCTCCTCGCCCAGCGTCGGACCTTCACGGACCTTCACAGCTCGGCCCGTCTCGAGAAGTGGCGCAGAAAAGGTGGGGACTGGGGCTCCTCCTCCGCCTCCCCCTCCCCCTCCTCCTCCTCCTCCTCCTCCTCCTCCTCCTCCTCCTCCGTGTACCATGGTGAGATTTTTGTCCAGACGTCGGATCTCGGGGGTCGGGGGGCGTCAGCCTGACCACCGCACCGGTCCTGGCCAGGCGCCGATCCTGGGCCCAGGGTCGGTGCATATCAGATGCCCGGTTTCGGGACCATCCCGGGGCCCACCTGACGGATCATTTTGGCCCTGGTTCGACTCCAGTTGGGCTCCAGCTCGACCCAAGTCCGACCCAGCGTCGACTCACAGCCGACGGACGCTCGACGCGGCATCGACGCACGAGTGGAGCGACCGGCTCCAGGAAGGCCCCCCCGAACCAGGCACCTGAGTATATACGCCCTCCTGCCTTGGCCATGTAGACGTACACACCGATCCTGGGCCCAGGATCGGCCCAGCCAGGGTCGGTGAGGTGGTCAGACTGACGTCCGCCGAGAGGACAGCTTCGGCATCCCCGCCGAGGCGCTGTCGGACGCCTCGGCTTCGTCGCGCGACGAGGTCGAGACGGCCGAGGCGGCGCCGACGCCAGAGGGCTTTCTGGGGCAGGCGGAGGTCGCGTTCGGCTCCGTGACGCGCGCGTATCAGGCTCAGTGCCGCCGCCGCCGCCGCCGCTGCCGCCGCCGTCGTCATCGCCGTCGTCGTTGTTGTTGTTGTTGTTGTTGTTGTTGTTGTTGTTGTTGTTGTTGTTGTTGTTGTTGTTGTTGTTGTTGTTGTTGTTGTTGTTGTTGTTGTTGTTGTTATTGTTCTTGTTCTTGTTCTTGTTGTTGTTGTTGTTGTTGTTGTTGTCGTCGTCGTCAATCTCTAGGCAAACGGATCTTAGGATCCCTCCTTGGTCCTTGGCTCCATCCCGACCCGTTTGCCGAGCTGCCTCCAGCCGTAGCAAAGGGCGGAACACGTGGAAGACTCCGCCGCCGCCGTCGTCACGGCCGTCGCCGCCATAGCCATCCCTAGCTGCCGCCGCTGCCGCCGCCGCCGTCGTAGTTACCGTCGCCGTTGCTGTCGCCGACTTGGTCGTCGTCGCCGCTGCCGCCGCCGCCGTCGTTGTCGCCGTCTTCGTCCGCCGCCGCCGCCGCCGCCGCCGCCGCCGCCGCCGTCGTCGTCGTCGTCGTGGTCGTCGTCGTCGTCGTCGTCGTCGTCGTCGTCGTCGTCGTCGTCGTCGTCGTCGCCGTCGTCGTCGTCGTCGTCGTCGTCGTCGTCGCTGTCGTCGTCGTTGTCGTCGTGGTCGTCGTCGTTGGAGTCGTCGTCGTCGTCGTCGTCGTCGTCGTCGTCGTCGTCGTCGTCGGCGTCCGCGTCGGCGTCGGCGTCGGCGTCGGCGTCGGCGTCGGCGTCGGCGTCGGCGTCGGCGTCGGCGTTGGCGTCGGCGTCGTCGGCGTCGGCGTCGTCGTCGTCGTCGTCGTCGTCGTCGTCGGTCGCCAGGCCCTGTGCAGCCACGCCGCGCACGTGCGGCCCGAGGGCACGGCGGCCGTGAGCAACGGCGCCGCGCTGGACGTGGAGGACTTTGCCATGGCCTGCCTGTGGCTGGAGCTCCTCGACGGCGACGGCGAGCTGGTGGCCGAGGACCTGTTCACAGACCTGTTCGGCCCTCCTGTGTTGGGCACTCGTTTTGAATACAGCACCGTATTGCCCCACCTCCTCCTCCTCCTCCTCCTCCTCCTCCTCCTCCTCCTCCTCCTCCTCCTCCTCTACCTCGTGTGTCCTCGCCTCTTGCACCTGGTCGCTCTCTCTCGCGGGTTTCTCCCCGTCTCCCCAATCACCCGTGTGGGTCTTGGAGCCGAGCCCGATTTGGAGGCAGAGTATCCCCGCCAGCGCTGCCACTACATTACCGTCCTCAGCTTTCACATCTATCACAAATTGAAAGCTGATCTTTCATTGCGCCGTCGGCCCCCGACGCCGCTTTACCACTACGAAGTCCGAGCCGCTGCACTCGCTGCCATGCGCATCTAGTGCTCAGGTCACCACGAACCGCCCCAGGTTACGTGCGCTCCTCCTCCTCCTCCTCCTCCTCCTCCTCCTCCTCCTCCTCCTCCTCCTCCTCGCCTCCTCCTCCTCCTCCTCTCTCTTCCTTCCTCCTTCCTCCTCCTCCTCCTCCTCCTCCTCCCGCCTCCTCCTCCTCCTCCTCCTCCTCCTCTCCTCCTTCCTCCCTCCTCCTCCTCCTCCTCCTCCTCCTCCTCCTCCTCCTCCCCCTCAATCCCCCTCCTCCCCTCTCCCCCTCCTCCTCCTCCTCCTTCTCCTCCTCCTCCTCCTCCTCCTCCTCCTCCTCCTCCTCCTTCCTCCCTCCATTCTCCTCCCCCTCGTTTTCTTCCTCCCTGTCTCGTGACCTCGCCGTCGCCTGGGGGGCTGCGATCTGCGAAACTGTCGCCACTCTCGTGGGTTTCTGGGAGGCCCAGCGGAGGTACGTCATTCGCGGATCACCACGGGACCTCGCCGTCCCTTGGGCGGCTGCGATCTGCGAATTTGTCGTCACTCTCGTGGGCTTCTGGGAGGCCCGGCGGAGGCACGTCATACGCGGATCACCACGAGAACTCGCCGTCCCCTTTGGGGAGCTGCGATCTGCGAAACCGTCGCCACTTTCGTGAGCTTCTGGGAGGCCCGGCGGAGGTACGTCATACGCGGACCACCACGAGACTTCGCCGTCCCCCAGGGGGTTGCGATCTGCGAAAGTGTCGTTATTTTCGTGGGCTTCTGGGAGACCCAGCGGAGGCACGTCATACGCGGATCACCGCGAGACCTCGCCGTCCCCTGGGGGGCTGCGATCTGCGAAACCGCAGCCACTTTCCTCGGTTTCTGGGAGGCCCAGCGGAGGCACATCCTACGCGGATGACCGCTACACCTCGCCGTCCCTGGGGGGTTGCGATCTGCGAAAGTGTCGTTATTTTCGTGGGCTTCTGGGAGACCCAGCGGAGGCACGTCTTACGCGGATCACCACGAGCACTCGCCGTCCCCTGGGGGGCTGCGATCTGCGAGACTTTCGCCATTTTCGTGGGCTTCTGGGAGGCCCAGCGGAGGTCTGTCCCACGCACATCACCACGAGACCTCGCCGTCCCCTTGGGGAGCTGCGATTTGCGAAACTTTCACCACTTTCGCGGGCATCTGGGAGGCCCAGCGGAGGTACGTCCTATGCAGATCACCGCGAGACCTCGCCGTCCCTGGGGGGCGGCGATCCGTGAAACTGTCGCCACTTTTACTTGCTCCTGGGAGGTCAGCGGGAGGTACGTCCTTCGCGGATGACCACTACACCTTGCCGTCCGTTGGGAGCTGCGATTTGCGAAACCGTCGCCACTTTCATGGGGTTCTGGGGGTGCCAGCGGAGGGGTGTCCCACGCAGATCACGAGACCTCGCCGTCCCTGGGGGTCTGCGATCTGCGAAATTGTCGCCACTAGTCCCATGAGGCATGGGCGGCTGGGTATATAAACCCGGCGGCAGTTAGGCACAGGGCTGGCCGGTTCTCAATATACGGGCCGTATTGGTTCTTCCGCATCATGTATCGCGTCTTCCGCAACATGGTCGGTTCCGACCGTAGACGCCGTACTGGGCCTCAGCATGTGCCGCGCTTTCCGCAGCATGGGCGGTTCCCAGCGTAGGGGCCTTACCGGGTCTTCGCGACGTGTACCGCGCCTTCCGCAACACGGTCGGTTCCCAGCGTAGGGGCGGTACCGCATTGGGCCTTCCGCGTCGTCTGCCGCGCCTTCCGCAACATGTGCCGGGCCTTCCGCAGCATGGTCGGCTCCCAATGTGCGCCGTGCCCGGCCTTTCGCAGCACGGTCGCTTCCCGACGCAGGCGCCGTTTCGGGTCTTCCGCAGCATGGTCGGTCCCCACCGCAGACGCCGTGCTGGGCCTTCCGCAGCATGGTCAGTTCCCAGCGTAGACGCCGTGCCCAGCCCGCCCCTTCGGGTTCGCCCGCCCGACCCGTCCCTCGGGGTCCGCCCGCCCGCCCCTCCCGTCGGGGCCATCGTCGCCATCGGCTTCGTCGCCGTCGTCGCGTTGGTTGTCCTTGTCGGCCTCGTCGTCGTCGTCGTCCTCACCGCCCCAGGCGCCTCCTGCGTGCATGTTCTAGTGGGTTGACTGTCCGCGACTTTACTGTCGTGCCCAACCCGACCCTCCCGCCCGCTAGGGTCCGCCTGCCCGACCTGCCCGTCAGGGTCCGCCCGCCCGACTCGCCCGTTGGGCTCCGCCTTCCCGACCCGCCCGTTAGGGTCGGTCCTCCCGACCTGCCCGTTAGGGTCCGCCTGCCCGACCCGCTCGTTAGGGCCCGCCCGGCGTCGTTCGTCGTTCGTCGTCGTCGTCGTCGTCGTCGTCATCTTCGTCGTCGTTGTCGTCGTCGTCGTCGTCGTCGTCGTCGTCGTCGTCGTCGTCGTGGCCGGCCTCATCGTCATCGTCGCGTCCGGCTTCCTTGTCGCCCTCTTCGTCGTCGTTGTCTTCGCCTCCTTCGGCGCCGCCTTTGTGGATGTCTTGGTGGGTGGATGTCTTGGTGGGTGGATGTTCCGCCCGCCCGACCCGCCCGTTGGGGTCCGCCCGCCCGACACTCCCGTTAGGGTCAGCCCGACCAGCTCGCCCGTTGGGTCAGCGTCGTCTCCCGACCGACTCGCCCGCCCGCTTGGGGGTCCGTCTGCGTGACCCGAACGTCTGGGCCGCCCGTTAGGGCCCGCCAGTCTGGCCCGCCCGTCAAGGTCCGCCCGCCCGACCGGCCCGTCAGGGCCCACCCGCCCGACCAGTCCGTTAGGTCAGCATCGTCGGTTTTGATGTCGCCGTCGTCTTCGATGTCCTCGTCGTCGGTGTCGACGTCGTCGTCGTCGTCGTCGTCGTCGTCGTTCTCCTCGTCGTCCTCGCCACCCCCGTCGCCTCCTGGGTTGACTGCCCGCGACTTTCATGTCGTGCCCACCCCGACCCGCCCGCCCACTAGGTTCCGCCTGCCCGAGGGTCCGCCCGCCCGACCCGCGTGTTAGGTCAGCGTCGTCGTCTTCGATATTGTCGCCCCGACCCCACGTTAGGGTCCGTCTTTCGTCGTCATCGTCGTCATCGTCGTCGTCGTCGTCGTCGATGTCCTGGTCGTCGTCGATGTCCTGGTCGTCGTCGTCGTCGTCGTCTTCGTCGTCGTCGTCGTCGTCGTCGTCGTCATCGTCGTCGTCGTCGTCCTCGCCGCCTCCATCGTCGCCTCCGTGGGTCTCCTGGTGGGTGGATTGCCCGCTTCTCTAATGTCTCGCCCGACCCGCCCGCCAGCTAGGGCTGGCCGCCCGAGCGCCCGTTAGGGTGCGCCCGCTTTTTTGTCCGGGCCCCCCATCCCTATCAAAATATATGAATAGGAATCAATCGATGTATGTTCACATGTGTATATATATGTATATATACATATGTGTGTATGTATAGGTGTGCATATATTTGTTTATGCATATCTAGATATATCTCGTAGAGATTGTGCATGTCCAGTATTTCCGCCCCCAGAGGAGCTGTTTAAGGGGCTCGATGCAGACGGAGACCGTTTGCTCACAGTGACGGACCTGCTGGACGTTGCGTACTTTCCAGTGGGCAGCGCCTGACCCGCCTGCCCGTGGCAGGCAAAAAAAGTTGCCGGTCGTCATACGGGGAGGTTAATGTTCCAATGAGCGCCGGGGTTACGCAGTGGCGAAGCGTCTTGGCTCGCCTATAGCCCCACCAAACAATGTTCTAAGAACATTTTGTGGTTTCCACGAAATGTTCTTAGAACATTTCTGGCGGAATCTGTCTTTTTTTATCACATCGGACTTATGTTCTAAGAACATTGTTTTTGTTATTAGAACATGTTGGGGTTCTAAGAACTTTTCGTGGTAGGATTACAGGAATGCTGGGACGGTCGTTCCCTGCTCAAGTTACCCAACCAGCCAAATCCAAAGCAGCTTCAGCTGATGCGTTTGCCAGTCTGCCCCGCTGCCTCCAGCCTCCGATCCAGCGCATGATGCAAGTGCATGTCCAGGGGGGAAAGAGCAGGAGGACGAGTTGAGGGGGAGCAGGAGAAGGATTACTGGTATGAGAAATGAGGAGGAGTAGTGGTAGTAGGAGGGGGAGGAGGAGGATTACCAGGATTACCGCCTTCACAAGAGTGAAATCAAAGCTACATGCTAAGGCCGCCCCCTGAGCTCACCCGCCAACGAGACGAACCAGAAGGAGGAACCCAGCGAGAGGTACAAGTAGAACGCGACACCGAAGTTCATGATAACATACCATGGCGAATCCCTCCAAACTGACTGGCGCCCTCGACAAACGAAACGTGATAAGCTAAGCTGAAATGAACTCGGCTCGATTCGGCCCTACCGTAGATAATCGGGCAACCTCGCACGTATATCATAAAGATCGCCTCATCCACAGACAGCCTCGCAAAACAGCAACGCAGTCGAGAATAACCAGCCAAAGTGTTCATTCCTTCCAGCCGGCCCAACGGGCCAGAGGCGTGCTAAGATCTCCGGTAACTGGTTAAGAATTCTCTAGTTCGCGCGCGCGGGGCGGCCCCTGGGGGTCCCCGGACGAAAAGTACCCCGGCAAGGTCCTGAGAGAGTCCCGAGAGGAGTCCCCCAGAGCGCTCCAGGAGCGCTCCATGAGCGCACCAACAGGGCTCCGAGACGTCCCCGAGAGCCCCAAGAAAGGCCAAGAGGCCCCCAAGAGGCCCCCAAGATGGTACACGAGGGGTCCGACATGCCACAAGATCGCTCCAAGACGCCCAAGATAGCCCCCAGACGCCCCAAGAGGCCTCCCAGAGCACTCCCAAGAGGGCCCCCGGAGGCAAAATTCATTGTTTTTCCTTAGGTTTTTGAGAGATTTTGGAGCTTCCACCTTTTCGGTTCCCGACGCCCCAAGACGGCCCCAGAGGCCCCCAAGATCGCCCCAAGAGGGCCCAAGAGGCCCCCAAGAGGGCCCCAAGATGGCCCAAGAGGGCTCGAAGACGGCCCAAGAAGCCTCCAAGACGGTCCAAGAGGGCCCCAAGAACGCCCCCAAAGGGGCCCCAGAGAGGGAACACGAAACAACATTTCGAGCCCTCGGCCCTAAGAAGCCCCTACGAGGCCCCAAGAGGCCCCTAAGAGGCCCCAAGAGGCCCCCACGAGGCCCTCAGGAGGCCCCCAAGAGTCCCCCAAGCGGCCCCAGGAGGCCCCCCAAATGCCCCCCCGAGCGCCCCAGGAGTCCCCCAAGCGGCCCCAGGAACCCCCAAAGCGCCGCATTGACACCAGGCCCTCGGGCAAACGGCAGACATGAGACCGTATGGGCCGGCGGAATGAGCGAAGCGATTCAATAACCAGCCAAAGTGTTCATTCCTTCCAGCCGAGAACACTGCACCCACAAACCAAAAATTGAATTGAAATAGCTCCCAGAACCACGCCCCAGCGAAAAAGCCGCCGCCCGAGTGGGTCTTAGACGGGCTCGAAGCCCCCGTGCCCCCCGGTTGCGGACGGGATGCCGATGAAGAGGTCCAAGGAGAGCACCACGACGAACACCGCCGCGCTCCGCCGCCCGAGTGGGACTTAGATGGGCTCGAAGCCCCCGTGCCCCTCGGTGCGGACGGGATGCCGAGGAAGATGTTCAGGAAAATGTTGAAACACGAATTCGCTTCCCTTCGTCACCAGGAGGGGCTGAACGATGCCGTTGCGAGCAAAAGACTCCCAACACTGTCCAGACGCCCTGGTGTCCCCCAAGCGCCGACGAGGAGGCGGGAAGCTAGGCTAGCGCGAGCGAGTGCGAGCCAAAAGATGGCACTACGCGCTCCGCCCACCTGTGCTTGAGCGGAGGAGGAGGAGGAGGAGGAGGCGGAGGAGGAGGAGGAGGAGGAGGAGGAAGAGGAGGAGGAGGAGGAGGGAGGAGGGAGGAGGGGAGGAGGAGGAGGGATGAGGGAGGAGGGAGGAGGGATGTGGGAGGAGGAGCAGGATAAGAAGGAGGAGGCGGAGGAGGAGGAGGATGAGTAAGAGGAGAAAGAGTAGGAGGAGCTTGGGAGGAGGAGGAGGAGGGGGAGGAAGATGACGAGGAAAAGGAGGAGGAGGAGTTGGAGGTGGGAGGACGAGGCGGACGAGGAGTAGGAGGAGGAGGAGGGGGATGATGATGCTGATGATGCTGATGATAATGATGATGATTATGATGATGATGACGATGATGATGCTGATGACGCTGCTTTTGGTGATGGCAATGCTGCTAATGTTGATGCTGATGATGATGATGATGCTGGTGATGGTGATGGTGCTGATGCTGACCATGATGCTGCTGATGCTGCTGATGCTGACGCTGACGATGACGACAACTTTTGATGATGATGGTGCTAATGCTATGCTTATGATGGTGCTAATGTTGATGATGATGCTGATGGTGCTGATGCTGATGTTGATGATGATGATGATGCTGCCGCTTATGATAATGATGGCGATACTGATGATGATGATGCTGATGGTGCTGTTGATGATGACGATGCTGATGATGATGCTGATGATTATGATGATGGTGCTGCTGATGATGCTGATGATGATGATGTTGATGTTGATGATGGTGATGCTGGTGATGATGCTTATGATGATGCTGCTGCTGATGATTCTGATGCTGGTGACGATGATGTTGCTGCTGATGCTGATGCTTGTATTGATGATGATGACGATGATGATGCTGCTATTGTTGTTGATGATGCTGCTGCTGATGATGACGATGATGTTGCGTGTTGTTGATGACGATGATTTATGATTGATGATGATTGATGATATGATGATGTGATGATGATGATGATGGTGGTGGTTGTGGTGGTGGTGGTGGTGGTGGTGATGATAATGCTGATGATCATGATGAATACGATGATGATGATGATGATGATGATGATGATGATGATGATGATGATGATGATGATGATGATGAGGATGATGATGATACTGCAGCTGCTGCTGCTGCTGATGATGATGATGATGATGATGATGATGATGGTGGTTGTGGTGGTGGTAGTGGGTGATGATGATGATGAGGAGGAGGAGGAGGAGGAGGAGGAGGAGGAGGAGGAGGAGGAGGAGGAGGATGAGCAGGAGGAGGAGATGGTGAACGACCCGCCTTCCAATCCGTGAAGCTCTTGCACAGTTTCGGGACGAATGTTCTAATGCGGCGGCGGGGGGGGGGGGGGGGGCGACGGCGGCGGCGGCGACGGCCCTTGCGCTTGCCGCTCCTCCTTCCCGCTCCCCTCCCCCCCCCCAGTCCGTGGCCAGTCTGGCCCGAGCGTCCCGCTGCCGCGGAGGCGCTGCCGCGGAGGCGCTGCCGCGCCTGTCGCCCTCTCGCTGGCGGCCGGGCGTCCGCGCTGACCACGCGCGCCGCCGCCGCGTGCTCTCCTTTGGCGGGCCGCCCCCCCCCCGCGATTCGACCGCGCATGGGGGATCGTTTCTTCGATCACCCGCCCCGCGTGCTTCAATCTGTCGCAGGGTGACGTTGCCCCTAAGATGCCTGCACCATGCAGGAAGAGAGGGGAGCACTTCGCGGAGAAGGAGAACCACATGTGTGCAGTCTGCCCACGTGTGAGGAGATCTGGCATCAGTTGCCTACTAGGGCGGACAACTGCGCGCGCGCGCAGAGCAACGCCCGCGGCCTGAACTGCGCCGCGCCGCGCCGGGGGTATGCCACCACGCTGGTTCCGGGCAGGCTGTGCTGTCTGGCGGCAGGGGACGAGGAGGGGAGAAGGGGCCCCAGGACACACAAATAAATATACACAAATAAAAATATTCCCCATATTTTCCTATATTTTCTGGGTTTTTGTCTCCCCCCCCCACTTCCCATATTTTCCCATATTTTCTGGGGAATCGACGATTAATTGTGTCTGTGTGTTTTTTTCCCTCCTGAGAGGGGAGAAGCAGGCGTCGCTTCCGGTATCTGTGCAGGCGTCGCTTCCGGTGTCCTCCTGCCGTGGGCCGGCCGCGCGGAGGCGGCCGGGTGCGGCCAGCGGAGGCTCCTTTCCCTTTCTCGGTCTGGGTCGGGGGCTGAGGCCCGCAGGCCGAGTGGCGTTTTGAGGTCGTCATCATCATCGTCATCATCGTCATCATCGTCATCATCGTCATCATCGTCATCATCGTCATCATCGTCATCATCGTCATCATCGTCATCATCGTCATCATCGTCATCGTCATCATCGTCATCATCATCGTCATCATCGTCATCATCGTCATCATCGTCATCATCGTCATCATCGTCATCATCGTCATCATCGTCATTATCATCATCGTCATCATCATCATCGTCATCATCATCATCAGGGTTTTTGAGTTCTTGCTTGTGGCCAGGTTCTTGATGGCTGGGCCCTTCGGTGCCTGGCTTTCGCGTCCCCTGAGAACTGGGCTTTCCAGGGCGTCTTCGGGCCCGGCGTTTGCGCTCGGCTCCGAGTCCCGGGGCCCTCACATGTCGACCCGGCTCGCACAACTATGCAGAGAGATGGGGTTTAGGGCTCCAGTTGTGATTCCTTTCGCTTCGCGGGGTGCACGTCCGGAGCACCTACTGTCAAGACGTTGTGGGGCCCACTGGGGGTCTCTTGGGGCGTCCTGGGGGATTCTTTGGGCCTCTTGAGGGCCTCTTTGGGGCCTGTTGGGGGGGGACCCCTTCGGGGGCCTCTTGGACCGTCTTGGGGTGCTCTTGCGTTATCTGGCCCCTTCGGAGGTCGTCTTGGGGCCACTCAGGGCCGCTTCGGGGCTCTGTTGGGGTCATCTTGGTCCGTTTTGGCAGCCCATTGGACCGTTTCGGGGTTCTCTTTGGGCTTTCTTGGGGCCCTCGTGG